GAGCTATATCAGCTTGGGGAAATAGATGCCAAGTAACATTTGCACCTGAGAAAACGCAAATGATGATCGTCTCTAGGCACCATGATGGTAATGCTGGTGCAGTAGTAAGGATGAATGGGAGAGTGTTGGCACCTGGATAAGAAGTTGATATCCTTGGGGTGAAATCTGACTCCAAACTAACCATGAAGAACCATGTTGTAAATCTTGCAAACAAGGCAGCCAGGAAGCTTACAGCACTTCACCGTATCTCGCATCTGCTTGACAGTAGGGGTTGCAAGATCCTGTACGAGGCACAAGTACGCTCACACCTTGAGTATGCTCCACTTTCTTGGTTTGCCTGCCCCCCCCCCTCTCATCTGCGACTGCTTGACAGAGTAGAGAACAGAGCAAGACGTCTCATCTCTCGCCTGGACCTATCCTGGATAGGTCTGTCATTTCAGCAGAGCCTTCAACATAGGAGGGATGTGGGTGGCCTTACTGTTATGTACAAGGCCAATATTGTCAAAATACCACACTTGGATCCACTTCGAGGACAGCGTGAAACAAGCTTTTATGCCGCAAGACGGGCAGAAAGTAGCAACTTCACTCTGGCTGTACCCTTCTCCAGAACATCACTCCATCTGAGATCATACATACCCAGGATGACTCGAGTATGGAACACATTCGTACAACATAATGATGTCAACGAGATAAAGTCAGTTGATCAAATGAAAATGCTGGCCCACAGATGGCTCCAACTTAATCCTGTTCCCTACTTGTATGTCTCATAACAATAAAAATGCTTTCAAATGAGCTGATGTAGGTAACAGCTCTTAGCTTGCCAATAAAGTTAGGAATCCTTAACCTGTAAATAGCTTGTCAATAAGATTCCAAGTTGGTAAAGTAGAATAAAGAGCAACACACTCGTTTTCGTGTAACACCATTTTTAGAATGAATGATACTCCGAGTGAAGCCATACGAAAGGAATAATTTTCTACAATTAGCCCCAGTAATACTATTATGTACACAGCTTCTCGGGTGTTGAACTAAAGAAAATGTTATTCTTCCCAACACTCTGACAGGACTGGAAAAACATCTTATATTTATGTTAATTTATTCTACTGTCGATGTATTTATCATGTTTATGTGTTATGAAGCATGTTTATTACATAATTTTGAAAAAATATTATAGATGGATTAATCAAAATGTCTATATTAAGGTAATATACAACATTTTATGTGCCTTAGGGAGATTGTGCATTATCATCATTAATATGGCATCTTCAAGACTAGTAAGACACAGTGATTTTATTGTGTACCTGCACACCAGCACAGTAAGTTTATTTAGGTATAGGTACACACAATTATGATGATCAGAGTACAGTGGACCCCCGGTTAACGATATTTTTTCACTCCAGAAGTATGTTCAGGTGCCAGTACTGACCGAATTTGTTCCCATAAGAAATATTGTGAAGTAGATTAGTCCATTTCAGACCCCCAAACATACACGTACAAACGCACTTACATAAATACACTTACATAATTGGTCGCATTCGGAGGTAATCGTTATGCGGGGGTCCACTGTATATATATATATATATATATGAAATAACTTTAAAACACTAGAAATTTTGGGATGTGTCCAGACATAATAGAGAGTCATACTCACAGATGTAAAAAAACTAGGTGGCCCACAGTAACCATATTAGAAAGTAAGGTGGGGGAGCTACAGTTTTTTTTTTTTTTTTCATAATTTGAAATGTCAACAAACAGACAGATGCTAAGATGATCCTAGTAAATTATAAGAACTATACGAGGTAAATGTACCCGTCACTAACTTAGACACACATGAGTCAGAATACACATTTAACCCTTTCAGGGTCTCCAAGCCCTCACCCAGACTTGTTCTCAGGATCGCCAAATTTAAAAAAAAAAAATCGTATGAAAAGATACAGAATCTTTTCCCGATCATAATGACACCAAAAGGGTGAAATTTGATGGAAAACTTACGGAATTATGCTCTCGCGAAGTTAGTGGTCTCAACGATCTTGACGCATTGGTGATTTTGCCCACTTTGAGCCCTATTTTCGGCCAATTCCTTACCTTTGATATACTTTTTTTTTTTTTTCCAACAAGTCGGTCGTCTCCCACCGAGGCAGGGTGACCCAAAAAAAAAAAAAAAAAAAAAAAAAAAAAAAAAAAAAAAAAAAAAATCCCCAAAAAGAAAATACTTTCATCATCATTCAACACTTTCACCACACTCACACATTATCACTGCTTTTGCAGAGGTGCTCAGAATACAACAGTTTAGAAGCATATACGTATAGAGATACACAACATATCCCTCCAAACTGCCAATATCCCAAACCCCTCCTTTAAAGTGCAGGCATTGTACTTCCCATTTCCAGGACTCAAGTCCGACTATATGAAAATAACCGGTTTCCCTGAATCCCTTCACTAAATATTACCCTGCTCACACTCCAACAGATCGTCAGGTCCCAAGTATCATTCGTCTCCATTCACTCCTATCTAACACGCTCATGCACGCTTGCTGGAAGTCCAAGCCCCTCACCCACAAAACCTCCTTTACCCCCTCTTTCCAACCCTTTCGCGGACGACCCCTACCCCTCTTTCCTTCCCCTATAGATTTATATGCTTTCCATGTCATTCAACTTTGATCCATTCTCTCTAAATGACCAAACCACCTCAACAACCCCTCTTCTGCCCTCTGACTAATGCTTTTATTAACTCCACACCTTCTCCTAATTTCCACACTCCGAATTTTCTGCATAATATTTACACCACACATTGCCCTTAAACAGGACATCTCCACTGCCTCCAACCGTCTCCTCGCTGCTGCATTTACCACCCAAGCTTCACATCCATATAAGAGTGTTGGTACTACTATACTTTCATACATTCCCTTCTTTGCCTCCATAGATAACGTTTTTTGACTCCACATATACCTCAACGCACCACTCACCTTTTTTCCCTCATCAATTCTATGATTAACCTCATCCTTCATAAATCCATCCACCGACACGTCAACTCCTAACTATCTGAAAACATTCACTTCTTCCATACTCCTCCTCCCCAATTTGATATCCAATTTTTCTTTATCTAAATCATTGATACCCTCATCACCTTACTCTTTTCTATGTTCACTTTCAACTTTCTACCTTTACACACATTCTCAAACTCATCCACTAACCTTTGCAATTTTTCTTTAGAATCTCCCATAAGCACAGTATCATCAGCAAAAAGTAACTGTCAATTCCCATTTTGAATTTGATTCCCCATAATTTAATCCCACCCCTCTCCCGAACACCCTAGCATTTACTTCTTTTACAACCCCATCTATAAATATATTAAACAACCATGGTGACATTACACATCCCTGTCTAAGACCTACTTTTACCGGGAAGTATTCTCCCTCTCTTCTACACACCCTAACCTGAGCCTCACTATCCTCATAAAAGCTCTTTACAGCATTTAGTAACTTACCACCTATTCCATATACTTGCAACATCTGCCACATTGCTCCTCTATCCACTATCATATGCCTTTTCTAAATCCATAAATGCAATAAAAACTTCCCTACCTTTATCTAAATACTGTTCACATATATGCTTCAATGTAAACACTTGATCTACACATCCCCTACCCACTCTGAAACCTCCTTGCTCATCCGCAATTCTACATTCTGTCTTACCTCTAATTCTTTCAATTATAACCCTACCGTATACTTTTCCTGGTATACTCAGTAAACTTATTTGATATACCTTTGAAGAATTTCAAGAGCATACCTACTCTCTGAGCCCGGCCATGGGCCAGGCTCGTCTGGTCAACCAGGCTGTTGCTGCTGAGGCCCGCTGCCCCACATCCATCACAGCCTGGTTGATCTGGCACCTGGTGAAGATACCTGTCTAGTTTCGTCTTGAAGGCTTCAATACTTGTTCCAGCAGTGTTTCTGATATCTTCTAGTACAGTGTACTAGTCGACAAAGATCATAACTATTTCGCTATAATTCCATTTTTTTGTATTGAGTGAGTACAAGAAACCACCCATTTACAGATTTCAACTATCCAATACAGTGGGTAGAATTTAGCAATTTTGCCAATTTCACACAAATTTCAAAAGATGCCAATTTCCAAATAGGGTCCAGAATAAACGAGAAAGACATTCCTGGCACTAAAATAACATTTCCTCTGTTCATTAGTCACGTCCCCAGAAGATTTACTGTTATGCAGACTACTGCATTAGTGTAGAAATGGTAAAAATAATATCAGCGCACTTGTGAAAGAATGTTAGACTCACCAGTTGACATGTATTGGATGCTTAGCATGATTTCTTTACTTTTGAACTTAGGTAAAAATTGAACATGTCTGCTACTTTGAGCTCAATTTCAAGGTACTTTTCGTTGTAAAACCAGTCAAAATCATCTCAATTTCTGTAATATGTCTTCCATTCTATAAAATGAGACCAGGAAAACTAGAATACAACAATAAATACCATACGAAAATACAGTGCAAAATCACTCTTAATCCAAAAACACTCAGTTTTTTTTTTCTCATTATGCACTGTGTGCTGCAGGATTTTTTTATACTGCGCACACTGACCATAAAGACCCATTCTTTCATAAGTAGGCCTACCAGCTTTCTCTCACTAGATCTGAGGGCGCTAGAATTTAGGCGTACTAGTACGTCAAAAACCCTGGTGCGTAAGCCGTACTAGTACGTCCAAAACCCTGAAAGGGTTAATTATATAATACAATATCTAGTGTGTGAATACAAGCTCAATCACATGTCAACAAGGATAAAAATTGAATTCTGATTTTGAACTCGTACATTTATAATGCTTTTCAATAATTTTATGTAAGCATAACCAGTAACTGTCATTAAACTCAGCATACAGAAGATTAACATGCATTCATACTGTAATAGGAAACAAGACTCAATAAAAAATATCCAATAAAAAATTTTATGCCTAGAAATAATCAAGTGATAATTATGTAGCCTTACATTTAATGCAGAGATTCCTGAATTAATAAGTTTTTGTCCTTGGTTATTAACTGCCTTTATGTCCCCTTCGTAGGCCTTGATTTCTCCTTCAAGTCGAGTGTGTAGCTGCAGCAGGGCCAGACCACTTGGTTCATCCTCACCGTAGTCCTTGGACTGGCACAGAGGCAGCTTCTCCTTGATCCACGACTCTGCCTCATTGGCATCTGCATTAAACTATTGCCAAAAATAATGCTGTATTTAGATAATGCTCATTCAATATGTTTAGCATATAGGGTAAGAATAAATTGGTATTTTCACATTTTGCAGTACACTTGCATTAAATGCATCATTTTGCATACTAAAATGGCATACCTGGGACTGTGCATGGGTTCTTGTCTACTAATGTTCATAAACATTTTAGAGTTTAAAGTACAAGTAGAACAATGTTATTTTGCATGTCAATGAGAAAGAAAGCCACCAGCAATCCTACCAGTGTGTAAAACAATTACAGGTTTCCGTTTCACACACTTGACAGGACCATGGTAGTACTTCCCTGGGTGGTTGATGTCTACCAACCTACTACCTGCATATCCCCTTCAAATTTGCTAACATCCTGTGACCTCCAAACCAGAATCAGACACATTATTTTCTGTTAGCAGTGATTTGAAGAGTCTGTATCAAAACTAGAGGCAGAAGAGTGTCTTGAAATGTGTGATGATTGGTATAGTATTCTTGTGTACTCTGCTGCTTACGTGACATTTCTTCTGCTGTTGATGCAGCAGTAGTAGTGTCATTTTGTGTACAATACTCTTCTTGTCTACTGTAATACTTTCTATATTTGAAACAAAAATATGATTAGTCATATATAGTACATATCTATGTATCTTTCAACAAACCGGCCGTATCCCACCGAGGCAGGGTGGCCCAAAAGGAAAAACAAAAGTTTCTCCTTTTAAATTTACTAATATATACAGAAGGGGTTACTAGCCCCTTGCTCCCGGCATTTTAGTCGCCTCCTACGACACGCATGGCTTACGGAGGAAGAATTCTGGTCCACTTCCCCATGGAGGTAAGAGGAAATAAACAAGAACAAGAACTAGTAAGAAAAATAGAAGAAAACCCAGAGGGGTGTGTATATATATATATGCTTGTACATGTATGTGTAGTGTGACCTAAGTGTAAGTAGAAGTAGCAAGACGTACCTAAAACCTTGCACGTTTACGAGACAGAAAAATGAAGACCAGCAATCCTACCATTATGTAAAACAAATACAGGTTTCCGTTTTACACTCACTTGGCAGGAAGGTAGTACCTCCCTGGGCGGTTGCTGTCTACCAACCTACTACCTAGGATATAGTACATATATCGATAACTATTAATGTAGAGAACTATAATTTTAACAAACTATAAACCGATTTTTTTTTTTAGCAAAATATAAACAGCCATATCCAACAGCAATATCCAATCCCACATGGTGCCTCGTGGCCTGGTGGATAAAGATCTCACTTCACACAGCGAGGGTCTGGGTTCAATTCCCAGCGAGGGTTGAAACATTAGGCGTGTTTCTTTATGCCTGTTGTCTATGTTCCCCATCAGTACAATGGGTACCTGGGTGTTAGACGACTGGTGTGGGTTGCATCCTGGGACAAAACTGACCTAATTTGCCCGAAATGCTCAGCATAACAAGCGGTTTTCCATATAGTAGCATGTCACTGATGTACATGTACTTATAGAAATAAAGATATTACATTATTATACAAGATCATTACCAAGCAAGCTTCCGCTGCATTTTCAAGCTGTTTCCGTCGGTCACTTGCATACTGATCTAGGCGCCGCCATTTCTCTTTCAGAGCAGCAATGCGTTCACTGATGGCCTTAGCATCAGGATGACCAGCTTTGAAGAGTGTTTCACCCGATCTCATAACTTTCTCTGCCTTGGGACGACGGGCACGCATCTCATCTTCTAAAGCCTGATGGGTGTAAATCCAGTAAATAAAAAAATGGGGAGAAAAAAAATGAACTATCTGATACTCTAATTTTAAGATTAAAAGTATTATGAATAATACAGCCTTTAGTAAATTGACATGCTACTTACCATGATTCAAGCTTATAAAAAGTACATCACATATGCTATATGCAAATAACAAAGCCTCAAGTAAAAAATAAAAAATAAAACTAATTTAAAAACTACATAGAAAAAATGCACTGAAAAAAAAAAAAGCTCTCCACCTTGCCACAACCTTGTCCAAAGAAAACAGCAAATACTTCATAAATAACAAATTACTTTACCTTAAGGGATGCAGCTTTCTGGTGGCAGAGCACAGGATGTGTTAGTGCAGAGAGCACCAGGGTGAGGGAGGTTAAGTAGAAGGAGCCATTAGTGTTAAGGTGACCAAATGCAACATTACTCCTTTATTATAGAAACTGAGGGCAACACTACAAGCAAACTCAAGCAAAATATGTTAGGTGTTAAAAGCAGCTAAGTGCATTATATACAAATGATGCAGAGAAAGATGGGTCTTTGTACAGGATTAAGAACTGCATACAGAATTAAAATTAATGTGCCTTCATTGAACACACATTAAAAGCAATACGAATTACTTATGAACTTCTCTTGTCCCTGCCAAGTCTGATAAGGAGTTTCTAATGTGAACCTGCAATCTTAATTGTGGCCACGTGTCACTATTCATTTGCTATCCACATATGAATGAACCTTTGAATTATAAGATTTGTTAGTTTTAGCACTATTTCATGGAGAAATTTCACATTTAATGTCAAACATGAACATATTCTGAGCACCTCTGCAAAAGCGTGTGGTGTGGTGAAAGTGTTGAATGATGATGAAAGTATTTTCTTTTTGGGGGGATTTTCTTTCTTTTTTGGGTTACCCTGCCTCGGTGGGAGACGGCCGACTTGTTGAAAAAAAAAAATGAACATATGTATAAAACGGGTTTTAAAAAGCACCAGTGCAGTGCCGCCTGCACTTTAAAGGAGAAGTGGAGATAGTGTGATGCACAGTATCATCTGAATTGTGATGTCTGCACACTTCTGGCAAAACAGTTAATGAATGATTGATAATGAATGTTTCATCTTTTCGGTCACCCTACCATGGCGAGAGATAGTAGGCATCAAATCACAATAGGTACGTATACAATAAATTAAATTTACTTCCAATCTAAAGACAAATACTTACAAATAAATTTTAATAATCAATAAGAATGTTGTATTATGCCAGATTGTGATGACCTACATGATTAACTACTTACACTGTATGCCTAATAGTACACTGCAAAAGAATCTGTCAGTTCTCATGTGAAGGTGTACATACATGTTGCAGGTCTTAAAATTTATTATCAGGCAGTGTCTATAACATGCATGGTATGTAATATCACTAACCAAATCAAACCTCTGTATTAAGATATTGATCTAGTGCTCAAGTCTTGACTAGGGCATGACCTAATATCAAAGAATACAGCCCTCTATTGCTCACTGAAGATGTTTCTTTTCCAAGCACTGAGGGTCAATGAGAGCTAACAATTTTTTTTTAAACTTATTTAAAAACTGTCATCTACAGTATATTGCTATATAAAGATTTGTACCCGATTTTATTTTTCTTCGTCAAAATTTATCATATGTATAATATACTTTAGTTAATTACAGACATCTGCATTAGACCAATCATTAACTATACTTAATTTCAGCTCCATGACCTCAAACTTTTGCATTACAATCAGTGGCTTCAATTGTTTCAGTTCAGCTACTTTATTAAGAATTGAATTTATATTTATTTGCACATTTTAGAAAAAAAGCTACCATATTAATTTTTCCAACTGTTTTTGTTGCAATTAGCAAGTCATTTTCTGTATTTATTGAAGGGATTATGTTTCAGAGCTTCATGGTTATACAGTAATGACTTAATATCTTGAGTGCAGATACAGTGCATATAAAGGGTCATAATAAAAGTATGCCATACTGAATAAAGTTAACAATTCCTTTTTTAAAATTCTAGGTACATGGTGTTGGACTATGTATAAAAATGTAAATAGAAAATGGCTAAGTTCAAATAAAAGAAGGTTCTGCAGAATATACAAGTGCTGGAATAATTTAAATTATTTTATATTTCTAAAAACAAAATACCATAATTCCTTGCTAAGAGTGCAGTCAAGCTAGTAATCTGGAAGTTAAGAGGCAGATGCCAAGACTGTGTAAGAGTAAGTCTAAGAAAAACTCAGGAGTCCCCAATGTGTAATCACCTCAGTTACTGTATATGAAGGAAGAACAAGCAAAAGGATTTATTTACAAGAAAAATGTTGAAAAGAAATACAAGGTATTACTGCTACCAATATACAAAAAATGGAGAGAAGGTATAATGTATACAATATATACTGCATATGACAGCTGCTATGTCCAAATATATACAATAGTAAATTAAGAAAACACTAGATATATTTTATGTAAATTTTGAAGTGGGCCGGATTCCAAGAAAATTCAACAGAACAATTGATAATACATGTAGATGGTCATTTATTTGTCCTTAATGCAAGTGCAGTATACTTGAATTTTACTTTTAACCTAACAAAAACCCAAAATGTGGTATAGGTCATCCCTATATCACATACTGCAAACTAATACAAAATTTAGAACTTTCATACCTTGTGTTTTTGCTGAAGCGAGATGACTGCTCTAATGTCTTTCGCAGTTACTCCTGCCTGACAAATCCTCTGTTTTTCAATAACCCAAGCTTCCTCCTCTTCCATATCCACTTCAAATTGAAAAAGATCTCGAGCCTCCTCCAATTTCAAGCGTCGTTCTGCAGCCTTCTTTAAAAGTGCTTGTTGCCCTTGGTTGAGCTCTAGCAGCCTTTTCTGCAGCAATGGTGCATCCTTATGTACTGAGCTCATACATGCTTCACCTTGCTTATTTAGGCGCTTAATTGTTTCTCCCATTGAATGTACTTGAGACTCCATTAATGAATGTTTCTGGAGTAAATCCTCTACTGCAAGCAAGTGCCGCCCAACATCATCAGAACAGAAGTTAACCTGTAAATAAAAATAACTTACACTAAACAATGACACCAAAGCTGAAAAAAATACATTTAAAAATGAAAACACTGAAAATATACATCAAATCTTAAAGTTCTTTTCAAAGAAGTTGAAGATAAATATTCAAGCTCCATTAAATGTAATAAACTCACTTCCAATTCCTTGATTGAAGCAGTAATGGTATCCACTTCCCTCATGATGCCAACAAGGATACAACAGTTCTGAAGATGGATCTTGTGCTTATTGAGAAGATCTAGAAGTTCGCTCCACTTTTTCAGTATATCTTTCTCCTTCTTACGAATGGCTACCTTACCATGATAGTTTTCAAGATCAAGCTCATCAGCCATTTTAGTTAAATCTTCAAATCGCTCTTGCTGCAGAAAAATTTTAATATTATTACTATGATGTAACCACATATTTTGCACAAATTTTATGCAGGAGTAATTTAAACAGCATACCTAACATGTACCTTATTACAAATAGGTTTGGGCATGTAGAAAGGATAGAGGGGGACAGGTTGACAAAGGACTACAAATCAGGGGTGAAAGACAAGAGGAGAATTGGTTATCCTTGGAACAGTTGGAGGGAGTACAGGAGACTTGAGTTTTAGGGACTTGAGCATCCAGCAGGGTTTGCGAGAGCACGTTAGACACGAGTGCACGTATACATGTGTTTTTTAATGCATGTACTGCTGGACTCGGGGTAACTGCATCAATATCAAATACAACAAAATTATAGTGAGTTGTAATAAACTGACTTGCCTTAAAAAACTTCAAAGTCTTGACTTTTATACACTGCAGTATAAAAAACTTACTCGAGCTAGAATATCTGCGCTGATGGCCTCGTGTTTTTTGACTGTAGCTTCCACCTGTGCCAAGTTGCTACCATACCGTGGATCACTCAACACCTGAATCATTTCCTCTAAGTAGCCTTTTCGAAGAACACTCTGCAGAAAACATTTTTTTTTTTTAATTTTTTGCTCAGACCAAAACCTATTCAACTCAAGTTCCAGCAGTTTGTCTCTCAGCATTTAATAAGAGTTTAGTCCATGACTGAACATGGCTTATACAACTTACCTTTTTGTCAAATTTATAAGCAAGTTGTTCAAGTCTTTCTTGTCTAAGCAGCTCATCCCTGAGGGCTACTTCCCGGCGATGCTCAGCCTTTTCCAGGTTATTCCACTCTCGCTCAATGTCATGAACCAACTGGCCATCTTTAGGTATGTATGCAGGCTGGTTCAGAGCTTTAAGGCTTGCATTAATGGAGAAGAACAGTGCTTCTATTTCACTTCTCTCTTTGTATCTAAAAAAGAAAAAAAAATATTGTAAAACAAACATAACATGAGCAACCTTTCAGTTTAGTAAGTGTTAGCCTTAACACCAGTGCAATCATTCATGACATTTTAGAAATCTTGTACAGAATAGAATATACACCAATATGGAAAGGGATTATCCAAGTGGCCCATGACCATGACTAATACATTATCTGTATTTTATCATTAAAACAAAATACAGTGGTACCTAGAGTTACGAACTTAATTCGTTCCAGAAGGCTGTTCGAGTTCCAATACCAAACGAATTTGATCCCATGAGGAATAATGTGAATCAGATTAGTTCATTTCAGACCCCCAACAATACACTTTAAAAAGCACTTACAAAAATACAATTACATAATTGTTAGAGTTGGGAGCTGTTCGAAACTCGAGGTACCAATATCTCATAGGTTAAGTTAACAATTACTGTATTTACCAAGGCACTCGCTCAGCACCGGGTTCTCTCATCATTTCACTAATATCAAGAGGCTAAGATGCGCCCAAGTTTGCTGAGACAGCAACATTACCCAAGTCAAAGATTTCTGTTAGTGAATTTGTGCCCTGATTTATCAATTACATTACAGCCTATTTTTGTTAACTTGTCAACCTATTTCAGTAATATAATTATAAAAGCAAATGGCAGTACAGTGCTGTCTTTCGAATTTCATTTCGTTACCATGCATATTTATCCAAATTATGAATCAAATGTAAACTTCAATTTCTAAATTAATCCTTTCACAAAGTACTGCATAATTTTATTTAAAGAGAGACTAATGGTATTTTGAAACTAGTATAAGCATTTGTCTCACTTGGGTGGCTTCTCCTCTGTTCTATATTTTTTGAAGTGGATGAGTAACTTCTGGATGCCATCAAGGGAGTTGGGAAACTTTCTGCTATCAAGGTCACAATCTTCATGATGATCCACTCCAGTAGTGTGGTGGTGATCTTCTCATACTTAGATTTACAGTCATCTACATCTTTCATTTGGTTCATTATCTGCATAAAATCAGTTTGTAAACAGCATGGAGGGTTGAGCAAACAAAACATGGAACATTATTTTTTTTTTTCAAGTCGGCTGTCTCCCACTGAGGCAGGGTGACCCAAAAAGAAAAAATCCCCAAAAAGAAAATCCTTTCATCATCATTCAACACTTTCACCTCACTCACACAATCACTGTTTTAGCAGAGGTGCTCAGAACAACAGTTTAGAAGCATATACGTATAAAGATAAACAACATATCCCTCCAAACTGCTAATATCCCGAACCCCTCCTTTAGAGTGCAGGCATTGTACTTCCCATTTCCAGGACTCGAGTCCGGTTATATAAAAATAATCGGTTTCCCTGAATCCCTTCACTAAATATTACCCTGCTCACACTCCAACAGATCGTCAGGTCCCAAATACCACTCGTCTCCATTCACTCCTATTGAACACGCTCATGCATGCCTGCTGGAAGTCCAAGCCCCTCGCCCACTAAACCTCCCTTACCACTTCTTTCCAACCTTTTCGAGGACGACCCCTACCCCGCCTTCCTTCTACAGATTTAAATGCTCTCCATGTCATTCTACTTTGATCTACTCTCTAAATGACCAAACCACCTCAACAACCCCTCTTCAGCCCTCTGACTAATACTTTTATTAACTCCACACCTTCTCCTAAATTCCACACTCCGAATTTTCTGCACAATATTTACACCATACATTGCCCTTAGACAGGACATCTCCACTGCCTCCAACCGCCTCCTCGCTGCTGCATTCACAACCCAAGCTTCACACCCATATAAGTGTTGGTACTACTAATGATGAAGTAAAGGGTGTGATAAAAGAGAAAAAGGTAGCTTATGAGAGGTTTTTACAAAGCAGAAGTGGTATAAGAAGAGCAGAGTATATGGAGAGTAAAAGAAAGGTAAAGAGAGTGGTGAGAGAGTGCAAAAGGAGAGCAGATGATAGAGTGGGAGAGGCACTGTCAAGAAATTTTAATGAAAATAAGAAAAAATTTTGGAGTGAGTTAAACAAGTTAAGAAAGCCTAGGGAAAATATGGATTTGTCAGTTAAAAAACAGAGTAGGGGAGTTAGTAATGGGGAGATGGGAGTATTGGGTAGATGGCGAGAATATTTTGAGAACTTATTAAATGTTAAGGAAGAAAACAGAGGCAGTAATTTCATGCATCTGGTCAGGAGGTATAACCATCTTTTAGGAGTGAAGAAGAGCAGAATGTAAGTGTGGGGGAGGTACGTGAGGCATTACGTAAAATGAAAAGGGGTAAAGCAGCTGGAACTGATGGACATGACAGAAATGTATAAAAGCAGGGGGGAATATAGTGTTGAGTGGTTGGTATTTTGTTTAATAAATGTATGAAAAGGGGAAGGTACCTAGGGATTGGCCCAGAGAGCAGTATAGTCCCTTTATATAAGAGGGAAAGGGGACAAAAGAGACTGGCAAAAATTTATAAGGAATAAGCTTACTGAGTATACCAGGAAAAGTGTACGTAGGGTATAATGGGGGGGGGGGGGGGGGGGGGGGGGGGGGGGGGGGGGGGGGGGGGGGGGGGGGGGGGGGGGGGGGGGGGGGGGGGGGGGGGGGGGGGGGGGGGGAAAAAAAAAAATTAGGGGTAAGACAAAGTAGGATTGCGGATGAGAAAGGGAGGTTTTAGAGTGGTAGGGATGGTAAAACAGTGTTTACTTGAAAAAATTAGGGAACAGTATTTAGATAAAGATGGGGAAGTTTTTATTGCATTTATGGATTTAGAAAAGGCAAGATAGAGGGTAGAGGAGCAATGTGGCAGAGTTGAAGTATAGGGAATGGGTGGAATTTTATTAAATGCGTAAAGAGTTTTTAGGGGATAGTGGGGCCATTTTTAGGGTTTTAGAAGAGGGGAGACTACTTCCCAGTAAAAGTAGTCTTAACGGGTTAATGTCCCATGGTTTTTAATATTTTATAATGGGTTGAAAGGGAAGAAAAATGCGGGGTTTTTTGGGAGGGGGTGGGTTTAAAATTTAGGGGAATCAAATTCAAAAGGGGAATTGACACAGTTACTTTTTTGCTGAGATACTGTCTTATGGAGATCAAAGAAAAATTAAAAAGGTTTGGAAATTTGGGAATGTGTTAAAGGAAGAAAGTTAAAGGAACAAAAAAGAAAAGGGGTGTTGGGGGGTGTAAAATGTTTAGATAAAAAAAAATTTGGGATATAAAATTTTGGGGAAGGGTATGGAAGAAGTAATGTTTTCAGATATTTGGGGGTTTGAGGGCCCGGGGGAGGGATTTTAAAGATGAGTTAAATAGAATGAAGGGAAAAAAGGGAGTGTCGTTGAGGTATATGTGGAGTCAAAAAACTTATCTAGGGACAAAAAAGGGGGAATGTGAAAGTATAAAACCCCAACCTCTTATAGGGGTGTAAGCTTGGTGGAAAATGCAGCAGCAGGAAACTTTGGGAGGCAGCGGAGATGTCCTGTTTAAGGGCAATTGTGGGGTAAATATTTTGCAAAAATTCGGATGGGAAATTAGGAGAAAGGGGTGGATTTAAAAAAAGTATTTTCAAGGGGGGGAAGAGGGTTGTTGAGGTGGTTTGGCATTAAGAGTGGATCACGTAGAATGACATGGAAAGCATAAAAATCTATAGGGGGGGGAAGGCGGGGGAGGGGTCGCCCCGAAAAGGGGTTGAGAGAGGGGGGAAAGGAGGTTTTTTTGGGGAAGGGCTTGGGCTTCCACAACTCGTGAGCGGTTAATAAAGGTGGGGAAAAAGGTACGGGGGCCAGCTTTAAGAGGGTAAAATTTTTAAACAAAGGAAAAACCTTTTTTCAAAAGTTTTCCCCCCTTGGTTGGGAAGGGAAAAAACACCCCACTTTGGGGGTTTTTGGTTTTGGTTGGAATTGGGTTCCCCTTTTAGGGATCTTCAAACGTTTGTTTTAATTTCAAAAACAGGTAAATTGGGGGGTTGAAAATGTTAATAAATGGGACTTTTTGGGGGGGTTTTTTTTTTTTTGGCACCCCCCCTGGGGGGAAACCCATTTTTGAAAAAAAAAAAAAAAAAAAAATTTCTTTTTTAATTTTTTTCTTTGCCTCCTTAACGTTTTTTTGAAAAAAAAAAAAACTACCTTTTTTCCCCCTTCAAATTCCCATGATAAATTTTCAAAAACCTCGCAAAAAAAAATGTCAACTCCCAATTATCTGAAAACTTCACTTCTTCAATCCCTCCCCCAATTTTATATCCATTTTTTTCTTTTTCCAAATCATTATACCCCAACCTTTTCTTTTCTATGTTCACTTTCAACTTTCTACTTTACACCACTCCCAAAAATCATCCATAACCTTTGCAATTTTCCTTTTTGAATTCCCCCCAACACGTACATCAGAAAGATAACTGCAATTCCCCTTTTGTTTTTATTCCCCATAATTTTAAACCCACCCCCCCTCCCGAACACCCACTTTACTTCTTTTACAACCCCATCTATAAATTTAAAATTTAAAAAACCATGGGACATTTCACATCCCTTCAAAACCTACTTTTACCGAAGATCTCCCCTCTTTATACACCCTAACCTGAGCCTCGCTATCCTCATAAAAACTTTTTACAGCATTTAGTAACTTACCACCTATTCCATAACGTACTTGCAACATCTGCCACATTGCTCCCCTATCCATTATCATATGCCTTTTCTAAATCCATAAATGCAATAAAAACTTCCCTACCTTTATCTAAATACTGTTCACATATATGCTTCAATGTAAACACTTGATCTACACATCCCCTACCCACTCTGAAACCTCCTTGCTCATCCGCAATCCTACATTCTGTCTTGCCTCTAATTCTTTCAATACTGATATAATCAACTATAAACTTAAAATACTGAATGTTTGGCCAAATTATGGGAGCTAATCTTTGTATAGTACATTCATTCTTGCTCTGCGAAAGGCTCAACCAAGTCGTACATGCATTAAATATTAACTACTGTATTTTACGGCGAACAAGATGCTCCAATGTTAAGGATGCCTCCCCAATTCCGATTGGCTAAATTTTGGAAAAGATAAACAGTATCTCAGCCTCTAAGTTGCTGGGTAAATTTTTGAAACATTTTGGGAAAAACAAGTAGTGTCTTCGACATTGTAAAATACGATAATACTTGAACTGCTGACCAGAGGGATGGTAATGTTAAACAGTAGTGGAAGAAATGGGACAAGATTAAACAGCAAAATACGATAAGGGTTATATAGGGGATTAGGGAGAAAAACTTACACGGCTCACGCAATTCAGATTTCGTGTTCAGAGAGAATGACTGTTGGCTAGCATTTTAAGAGTGCTTTGTTTTTAAGGCATTCATATTTTAATTAGTCCCAGGATTACTTTGGTGATGATAGCCTTGCTACTAGATAGGAACATATTCGTGTTACTCTTCTGTTGCTTGCCTGTACTGCTGACTGCTGGTGCTGAAGCCAATGTCAGTGTTACCTTTATTCTGCCTTGATGCTTTAACTGAAGTGTGATAGCAAGCTGCTTATGCCTCCAACAGGTTTTCTGTTGTTAATGCATGCACACTCAAAGTATGGACATGTACAATGACACTATACATACATAATCACTTTAATTTTAGCATACACATCTTGGTTCAGGGTCTGGCCAACTGTCAGTCAGGTTATGCAGAATTGCTGGTGATGACTATTCTCAGTCAATTCTTACAACTCTTGTTGTAAGGATTACCTGCAAATTTTTCAGGGAAGTTTTTTATTTTATAGTTGATGCTATAATGAATGGGGTTTCTCTACCTAGATATAGAAACTTCATTTTCTCAAGTTGCCTCTTCATTACCTGGTGGAGACTTCTATAAGTTCATTCAACAGTGAAATCCGTATGTATATCTTATCTATCTCTGAGGCTAATGTTCGCAATCTCCTTGCTCTGTTTTGTGCTACTTACATCTTTAGTTTGTCTATGGTCCAAGGGCTAATGGAATACAGATTAACATGTTGAAGTGGGAAAGTTTGATGTGGGCTGAGGCCGATCTAAACTAGAAGAGTATAGCCAGGCAACTGCTAGCTAGAACATACTCTTTACTTGCGAAAAATTTAGGGGTATGTAACTCTTGCCCAAGAATTTTGACCGACCCTTTTGCAGCCTACGGCTGTGATCAGCTGCCTTTACAAACCAATATGCAGTGAATGTTTTGAAAATTCTTCCATTATGTAGCACTAATACATTGTTCGCTAGAGTACAAATTAGCCAGATTTGTTTCCATGCTCAAATGTTTTCGGAAACAAATTCCAAATACACAATGTGGCATAATATTCTGATGTACCAAACTAAAGTTTGATCGGGACATTTTTCATACTGAACTCGCTAATTTTACTATTATTGTTTGCTTATTAATTACCTGGTGCTATAATGGGTAGTGCTACATTATGACAGCTGGTCTAGAAACAAGGTTCAAATGTTTAATCATATACATTCACATTGAAACAAAATATCAAAAACTGGGTAACAAAAATTTTACATCATATTTACAAACTAAATAGAACTTCACAATGTTACAATCACAAAAATAATGAAAAGTATACAAAAGCTTCCAAAAACTTCAGTACAATATGAAATTAACTTCAATGATTGAGACACTTGTGCTACAATTGGGTATCTATTGTGGAAACATCTTACTAACAAATGGCTTCCTCAGTCTGGTACAGAGATGAATGGTAGAAAATGATTACGAGTGACGTAATCAGTCCTTCAGCCTTGTGTTGATTTGTCCAGTCCATCATTCTTGGACTGAACACACTGACTCAAGGCTGAGAGACTGATTACCTCAAACTACTACATTTTCCACCATTCATCTCTATACCAGACTGTAGTATAAAGATACCCAAGAGTTGCATAAGTGTCTCTATCATCAACTCGTCAGTTCTCTAAACCATTTATCTACAAAAATTAGCTTACATTGGCAATTCTCTTGGATCCCTTCAACTCATTCTTCATACGAGCGAACGTGTGATAGTAGGATGCAACGTACGTGATAATTGATTTCTCATCAGGTTTGCTTGTGTCCACATCTGACAATATATAAATTACAAAACTTGTATAAATATATATTAGTAAACAAGACTGAATATGTACTTTTCTTTCATAGCCACTAATTTAAAAATGTCAATATCTCAGTCAAGTACATGGTAACCGTACCTTCAGCATCAAGAATCTTGGCAATACCCAGTTCATTATGGGCCACATCAAAGGCATTATTGAGGTTATCAATGTGATTCTTTGGTATCAAGGCATTGTAATCGATTATATCTGGTCGATGAGCATGAATAAGAGCATTGAAACCCAAGCCATCCCTCCACGATCCTAAAAGAAATGCAGTTTAGTATTTAAATGACATTCAAATTAAATGGTTAAAAAAAATAAAGCAAACATTATATAATCTGTTCTGAATTTTTCACTTTACTGAGTAAATATATAAGGTATTGTATTTATACAATTATACCTTAAACTCTACAAATAGAGAAGTGAAGAATTAAATAACTGAATGCTTTAAAGTTAAACGTAAATGATAAACAAATGGACTGGCTCATCATCTGGTTCTGGGTCTGATTTATTTAGAATTTTTTTGGATACAAGCAAACAAATTTTTGAAAGCTTTAGAAAGAACTAAATACAATTTTTTCCTTTACCACAACTGTAAATCACTAGAAAGCTGAGTAAATTACAAGAGTTGTGTAGAAAGGTACTATATATTAAGCAAAGCCTCAAAGTTGCATAGCATGTTGGTCAACTTACTCGAGAAATCCTCAATACTAACTCCTCTGTAGCCAGCAGTTTTCCTTTGACACCATAGCAACAATGCATCTTTGGCAGATTTCTTCTCACTACTTTCATTTTCTTCATCCTAAAAATTTTAAAACATTAGGCATTTACAAAAAAAGTCTAAGTAAACAAATTTATACAGTACATGGTAATCCCAGAAGATTAACAACCTAGGATAACACGAGAAAATGAAGTAGTGTGGCTTATTTCTATTTAAAGTCTTTGGTCCTTTCTGAGGATGTGACCCACAAGAACTAACATTCAGATACAGTATGTATTTAGTGTTAGGTGAACAGAGGCAGCATGTGGTAACAGTACTGTAGACTACCCTAAGTTGGACCCCATCCAGGATTGAACCCAAGTAAACAAATCATACTACAGGCAGGAACTGAACTAATGGCAAGTGAGTTGGATGAATCTTATTGTAGCCAGCTGGCCCAGTAGCTTATGTTCTGGCCTGGAGTTATACAATTCGCTCACCACGAGTTTAATCCCCATCTGTGGTATGGTTTGTTTGCAACTGTCATTGAACCCAGATCCTTGTAGCTCTAAAAATGAGCTATGACATAGCCAAGTAGTGTAGAAAAAGTATTTTTAGCAACTGTACAGCTTTTCCTCAACTTGTGAAAGTTCAAGCTTTGGTGACGTCTCTCATCTATCGATAATTCCGTATGTAACGTAAATCAATTATATAATCAGTGTAGTTTGCAAGATTTATATATCTACTGCGTACACCAGGGACACCTACATTTTCCATGTACTGGAAATCAAAATCAGGAAGGAATAGCTTCAGGATTTTATATAGGGGGGGGGGGGGCTTAGGTGTGGCAATCTGGTTGAAAAAGGAGTTAGAAGACTTGTCTTGAAGTTGCATTATTACCAATTATCATTATAATGAGGCTGATAGATTATGGGGGCCTCAGCCCCCATGCACCCCTAGGTGCTGCCACTGATCACAATGTGCTACCTGTAGTCTATCATAAATTATCAGTCATAACTTTTTTCTTCTTTCAACAAACCGGCTGTATCCCACCGAGGCAGGGTGGCCCGAAAAGAAAAACGAAAGTCTCTCTTTTTAAATTTAGTAATTTATACAAGGGGTTACTAGCCCCTTGCTCCCGGCATTTTAGTCGCCTCTTACAACATGCATGGTTTACGGAGGAAGAATTCTGTTCCACTTCCCCATAGAGATAAGAGGAAATAAACAAGAACTAGAAACAAAATAGCAGAAAACCCAGAGAGAGGAGAGAGAGAGAGGAGAGAGAGAGAGGAGAGAGAGAGAGGAGAAGAGAGAGAGGAGAGGAGAGAGAGGGGAAGAGAGAGGAGAGAAGGGGAGGAGAGAGAGAGAGAGAGAGAGAGAGGAGAGAGAGAAGAGAGGAGAGAGAGAGGAGGGGAGAGAGAGAGAGAGAGAGGGGAGAGAGGGAAAAGAGAGAGGGAGAGAGAGAGAGGAGAGAGAGAGAGGAGAGAGAGAGAGGAGAGAGAGAGAGGAGAGAGAGAGAGAGGAAGAGAAGAGAGAGGAGGAGAGAGAGAAAAGGGGAGAGAGAGAGAGAGAGAGAGAAGAGAGAGGAGAGAGAGAGAGGAGAGAGAGAGAGAGGAGAGAGAGGGAGAGAGGAAGAGAAAAGAGGAGAGAAAGGAAGAGAGTAGAGGAGAAGAGAGGAGAGAAAAGGAGAGAAAGAGAGAGAGGAGGAGGAGAAGAGGAGAGAGAGAGAGAGAGAGAAGGAGAGAAGAGGGAAGAGGAAGAGGAGAGGAGAGAGAGAGGGAGAGAGAGGAGAGAGAGGGAGAGAGAGGGAAAAGAGAGAGAGGAGAGAGAGAGAGGGAGAGAGAGAGAGAGAGAGAGGGAGAGGGGAGAGGGGAGGGGAGCGGAGAGGAGGGGGGGGGGGAGGGTCCACACGCACAAACCTGGCTATGGGAAGAGGTAATTGGCCAGCCCTTTGCCTGAGCTCGCCACCACCGACGGGAATGCTCTTCCCAGGGGGATGTTGAAAACCCCAAGTGAAAGCCTTCACTGGACACATCCTTAATCTGCAACAAGAACACATTCCTCACCGGCAATAAAGTGACAAAGCCTACAGATCAGCCTTGGTTTGGCTTTCGTTGTAGAGAGGCTGCTACTGCTAAGTACAAAGCATGGCAAGGTATAAGAGACATCCTACCACCTATAACAGGAACTTGCACATGCAAGCCTGTAGGCAAATGGGTGAGTTCAAAAGTGGGCCCATTGCTAAATGGGAGTTGGACACTAAAAGAAAGTTAGCATCCGTAGGGTAGGCTCCAAAAACCTGGTGGTTTCCCCCGGTCAAGGACAGACAAGGTTATCTGCCTGATGAACTTATTCCACCTCTAAATCGACAGGATGGGACCACCTCTACTAGTAGTCAAGAGAAACGACCTCTTTGCTGAACACTTTGCTACCAAAATGCAAGTTCCTGATCCAGCAAAGGGGCCCTCCTTGGCTAGCTGCAAGAACTGTGTCAAAACTGTCAGGGGTGACAATAAGACAGGAGAGGTGCATTTCCTTCTTAAATCACTTGACCAAGAAAAGGGTGTGGGCCCAGACAAGTTGGGGCCCCAAAATTGTTGAGAAGATGTGCAGACCAGCTAGCAGCACCTCTAACTCGCATCTTTCAGCACTGCCTAGTACAGTGTAAATGGCCCTCTCCATGGAAAGAGGCAAATGTAGTCCCTGTTCACAAAAAGAAGAGCAGAGCAGAAAACAGTAACTACAGACCCTGTCACTCCCCGCAAAACACGGTAAAGGGGGGGAAAAAGGGGGGGAAAAGGGAAGGAGGAAGGGGATGGAAAAAGGGGGAGACAAAAGGGGAGGTTGGGACCACAAGAAAATTGGCTAGGAAGGGTTTATTCCAAAACCTTTTGGGGGCCCCGGGTCGCCCCCAGGACAAGGTTTTCGGGGGTGTTGCCCCAAATATTAACCCCCTAAACCCTTAATCTTGGGGAAAAAACCACCTCCCCGGGCCAAAGGAAAAAACCCCGGGAAACCCTTTTTGGGCCTTGAAAACTTTGCTAAAAAAAGGGAAAGGGTTCTATCCAAAAAGGGCCCCCTTCCGGGCAACCCTGAAGGAAAGGGGGGTTAAAAAAACCCTTGAAAAAGGGGTTTGGACAAAAAAAAAGGACAGGGGGGAGGTAAAAATTTCTTCCCCTTTAAAGGAAAAGAAAAGGTTTTGGGCCCCAGAAATTTTAAACCCCAAATTTGGAAGAAAAAGGGCAACATTTTACTGAAAAAAAATGGGAATCTTTCGCACTTTTGTCCCAAAATGGGCCCCTACCAGGAAAGGGCCCCTTTGGTAGTCCCTGTTCAAAAGAAGGGGGGGAAAAAAAAATTTTTTTAAAAAATTTTAAAAAAAATTCCCAAAAAAATAAAAAATTTTTAAAATTTAAAACCAAAAAAATTAAATAAAAAAAAAAAAACCCCAAAAAAAAAAAATCAGAAAATAAAAAAAAAAACAAAAAACATTTATTTCGCCAGTGTCACCCTGCAATCACTGGTAAGACCCTTGAGAAAAATTATCTCAAGAAAATGACAGATTTTTTTGATTTTACCACTAAATATTTTGTGATTTTAAATTTGGTTTCGGGAAAAGGGTTTCTGTTTGCTGATTGTTGTTAAACCTTTTCCACTAAGTGGCCCCTTTTAAGGGGATGAACCCAAAAAGTCAGCTTTTGGGGGGTAGACTGGACATTGCTGGCGCTTTCAAACGGGTGGGAAACGGGGCCCTTTAGCAAAACTTCAAGCACTGGGAATTGAGGCTCTACGCTTTTGTCTCCTCAGTGATTCCTTTTCAGGGGTTGTTTCTCAAAGTGTAGCCCTCAAGGGAAACCCGGAATCAGCAAGGAATTTTGGGGGCAAGCTTCCAAAAGGGGGAGTGTTTTTTGGGGTCCACTGTTAGGGAAATGTCTACTTCAAAAACCTTCTTCTTTTTCTTCCCAAAAATAAATGCATATGCAGACAAATGTACACTGACATTCCTTATCCAAGGGGAAGAAATGCCAGCTGCTCTAAGCTACATCAATCACCGCTGGAGCTATTTCAGCTTGGGGAAATAGGGGGAAGTAACATTCGCACCTGGGGAAAACGCAAAATGAGGGATCGTCTCTGGCCCATAAAGGGTAATGTGGTGCAGTAGTTTGGATGAATGGGGGGGAAATTTTGGGCCCACCGGAGAAAAAGTTGTACCCTTTTGGGGTAAAATTTTGGGACTCCAACAAAACCATGAAAAAAACCATGTTGTAAATCTTGAAAAACAAGGCAGCCGGGAAATTTTTTCAGACTTCGGCCTTTATCTCGCTCTGCTTGCCCAGTGGGGTTGAAGATCTGTACGGGGGCACAATTTCCGCTCACCCCTTGAGTATGCCCCAAATTTCTTGGTTTGCCTGTCCCCTTCTTCTGGACTGTTTACAGATTTGAAAACAGGAAAGACGTCTCATTTTCCCCGCCTCCCCCATCCTGGTTGATCTGTCTTTTCGCAGAGCCTTCAACATAGGAGGGATGGGGGGTGGCCTTACTTTTTATGACAAGGCCCAAAATTTGGGCAAAATACCACACTTTGGGTCCACTTCGAGGACAGCGTGGGGGAAAAAGCTTTTATGGGACAAGGGGCAGAATGCAAAAAACTTCACTTGGCGTACCCCTTTTCCCCGAAAAATCACTCCCTCTGAGATCATAAATTTCCCCGGATTTATCGGGTATGGAAAAACATTCGTTTCAGCATAATTATGGGCAACAAAATAACGTTTAGTTTATCAAAAAGAAAAAAGTGGGGCCGATGGCTCCAATTCCTCCTGTTCCCACTTGTTTTTTCTCATAACAAAAAAAAATGCTTTCAAAAGAAAATGAGTAGGTAACCTCTTAAACTTGCCAAAAAAGTTAGGGAATTTCCCTTAAATGTAAATAGCTGTCAAATTTAAATTGGATCCTTAAAATTGTAAAACCCCCATTCTTAAAAAAAAAAAAAAAAAAAAAAAAAAAAAGGAGAGAGGAGAGAGAAGGGGAGAGAGGAGAGAGGAGGGAAAAAGGGAAAAGAGAGAGAGAGAGGAGACGAGAGAGAGAGAGGGAAAAGGGGGGAG